AGGGTCATGAAGAGCATTACTATACTTTCCCTTCACTCAGCTTTACAGTGGCAGGTAATTGTTGAGTTTATTTTGGCTTGTTAAATACTCATGTGCTCAACATGATGCCAGTGTAAGTGCTTAGTGATGATGTTATAGACTGAAGAAAAAACATGACTAGTATCTAGAATTCTGAAAATCTGCCTTGCTACACTTGTTGTCCTGATAGGTCCCTGAAGAAATAAGCACTGAAGCTGTTGGGCTGCGGGGAGTTATCATTATAACTAGGCTCTTTGAGCTCCTGTGGCTTTGGCCCCCACATCTACTTTGGTGAGCTAGACAAGACTAAAGCTGCAGATGCTTTTAGCCCACTGTAGTGAAAAACCCAAGTAAGTCGTCTTCCTGGAGGAGAGGAGTGCATAGGGAAAAACAGAAAAGAGTAGCTCAAAACAGTTAAGAAGAAAGGGAGCCTCCAAAAGGAGAAAATTCAAGGAGAGGTTAAGAAGACCTTCCCTCTCTAGAGCTCAGACAAATTTTGCCCTGGGCTGCATCTTGACCACCCTTGCCACATGTTCTTCTCTGTCCAGTTTTGCTCATTCAATAAAGGTTAAATATTTTAAGCATTTTGATGTACAGACCCAGGTATGTAGTGGATAAAGTAGAAAAAATTCTTTAGCCTTGTGGAGTTCACATTTTCCCTTCCATAAGTCCCCTACAAGGCATATATTCCCCCCAGCTGTACTCCTTTCACCCAAATTCCAACTTTGCTATAGTGATATAATTGGATCTTTTTTTAGTGTTCATTTTGTTCTTGATCCACATAGTTGCTTTTCTTTTGATTGGTTGTGTGGTGTGAATTTAAAGATAGAGGCGGGCAGGGGGAGCCTGGAATTCCTGCCAAAGGGTAGTATGGGTGAACAGCGATGTTTAGGTTAAGCTCAGTGAGGCAATTAACATGTTTTTGAAAACAGATTTTAAATATAGTTATGCACAAGATAAAAATAAGGGAGATTGCTGAAGTAAAGGCAGTAGACAGCTGCTTTGAGTATCTGTTGTATGCAGAGCTTTTTTAGATGTTATGGGGGATGATTGTCAACTAAAAATACTAAAAGATAAGTTAGTACTGAAATAATTAGAATTAGCATAATAAAGCAGAAGAGGTGTTAGACCAGAAATCTGCTAACCAGATTTCCTAGTAAGTACCCTGAAGAAGTCAGTCTTTATGTGCTTCAGTTCCGTTGTCTTTGGAATGGGAATAAAACTAGATCAGCTAGTGGTTCACGACACTGTACATTAAAAACTTCTGGGGGACTTTTACAATTCAGTTTTTGGAGGTTAGGGCTTGGGCCTATTTTCAGAAGCTTCCACTGATAATATTTAAATCCAGGTTCATATTCAAAACTGCTCCCAAGATCGAAGGCATTTCCAACTCTGACATCTTAACATTTGATGAAGTAAGCATAGCATGAACAACTATATAGCTGTGGAAATATATGTAAGTAGGATTGTTGGGATGAGTAATATTAAGATATTATTAAATCAACAGGCTAGTGTAACAGAGGGTAAGAACATTCTTTGGCCATTCTTTCATTCCTGTCTTATTTTCCTGCAATTTTTTTAAAGAGTAATAAGTGTTTTTCTAGTTTTGGGTTTGTTTGTTTTTTTTTAATAAGCATTGCCTAATAAACAGCTTTGAATTTCCAGACATCTTTTGAAAGTTTCAGTTGCTGTTTCTTCTCACTGGAAAGCTCCTTAGTTTGTTAATCCCTGGACTGATGGTTGAGAGTAAGCATTGGAGCCTGAAAAAATCTCAGCATCCTCAGCATCACAATGACACTTTAGTAGTCCCCAACCTTTTGGATACCAGGGACCAGTTTCATGGAATATAATTTTTCCACGGACTGAATGTGAAGGACTGGTTTCAGAGTGATTCTTGTAAGGAGCAACCTAGATCCCTTGCATGTGCAGTTCACAGGCCGGTTCCCACTCCTGTGAGAATCTGATGCCACCTCTGATCCGACAGGAGGTGGAGCTCAGGTGGTAATACAAGCAATGGGGAGCAGCTGTAAATACAGAAGACGCATGGCTCACTCACCCACTGCTCACCTCCTGATGTGCGGCCTGGTTCTTAACAGGCCGTTGACTGCTTCCAGCTTGGGGGTTGGGTTCCAGCCTGCTTTAAACCATTAGTGTGATGACTTTTATAATGGTGGTGAATAGTCCTTATTTCCCAAAGGATAACTTTGAGGACATTGTCTATATTTTCCCATTCGTTCCTTTACATAATTAAGAACCAAGGTAATACAGTTTTGAGAACCTTTTTTTTTTTTTTTTTTTTTAAAGATAGTCATAAAATCTCAGAGTTGGAAAAAAGACTAACAGTTACCTGATGTTCGAATTCTTTATTTGGGTACCCCAAAGAAGTAGTTGTCTAAACAGTATTTGAATCTCTCAGTTACCTGGAAACTCAAGTAACTTCGAAGAAAGCTTGTCCATCTTTTGGAAACTCTAAGCATTAGAATGTATTATGTTAAGAGGACCAAAGTCTGACTCTGGAGTTCCTTGGGGCCATAATACAGTCTACGTCTGTTTCATATTAAAAAATTCAGTTGACTTTTCACATCTTAATTCTCCAGTTTAGTTACATCTGTTCTCTGGCTATTTTGCATAGCTTTGTTTTGAGACACTGATTTATTCATATCACTTTTGAAATGTGTTAGCACACAGAATGTGTGTTTTGGAAGAGAGGGACTTGCTTTTAAACCAGCCTTCAGTAAGAGTGATCTCACTTGCTCATATTATATCCTATAAATTACTATTGTGTCACTTTAATTGATCTCAGTCATGCCACCCTGTAACCCTTACTCTTGACTAGCAAGTTTTTTAATTTGTCTTATCTTTTGCTTATACTTATTTATAAATTTGATTTTTTGGTGTAACTGTGAAAGTGAAAATATTAGTCACTTAGTCATGTCCCACTCTTTGTGACCCCATGGATTGTATGTAGCCCGCCAGGCTCCTCTCTGTCCATGGAATTCTTCAGGCAAGAATACTGGAGGGGGTTGCTATTTCCTTCACCAGGGGATTTTCCTGACCCAGGAGTTGAACCTGAGTCTTCTGCATTGCACTCAGATTCTTTACCATCTGAGCTACCAGGGAAGTCCTTTAGAACTTTGTACTTATTTCTTTATATTAAATTTAATCTGATATATCAGTATTTTTTAATCTTAATCCAGTGAATTCACTATCCTTTTTAGCTTGGGATATTGCACAGAATTGTTGATCATATCCTTCTATGTGTCCAGGTGGTTGCAAAAATGTTAAATAGACAGAGTCATTTTTAGATAATATATACCGAGGTAAGACCCAGACCTGTGTGCTATAGATATGTTAGTCCTGTTCCCTGCTACTAGAAACTTCCCTCTTGAGTAACACTTGTATATATTTTCTTAAAGATCTGCTTTCTAAATCTGTAAAACTGAAAGACTCTTTTTTCTTAGCTTTCCCTAAGGTTAGTCTGCTTCCTCCCACTTTTTAGATCCAGTTGGAATGTAGCCTCATCAGAAAGGACTTCTCTGACAACCTTATCCCAAGTAGCTTCCCCTAGTAAATAGAAGTGTTACTATTTTGCTAGATCACTTAACATTGTTCAGAGATACAAATATGGTTTATTATTTGCTTCTCCTCTTCTAGAATGTCAACTCTGTGAGGTCGGAGACTATATCTTTGTCGTTTAGTGCTGTGTCCCTTGCACCTAATATAGTACTTGGCGCAAGTTGGGTACTCAATTGAAGGAATGACTTTACTGCTGCAATGTTGTTTTGTAGTTTTACTTTATATATAGTTTGCGTAATATATACAAAAGGAACATTTAGCTTTTTGAATTACTGTATTCCCTTTTACACCCTTAATAGAGATTCTGTGACATTCTAATGATGGGATAGCATAACTCCAATGGGAAAATCTGCTGTGCTCTGATCACCTTTAATCACATCTAATTATCTTTACAGCAAGCCCATTTTTTTTCTTTTACACAATGTGCTTCTAAAAGGATTTCATGAAATATCAGTTGCCCAGATACATGTAAAAATGAAACAGATTTTTAGAAATTTTTGTCTCATGTGAGGAAAGCTTCGAATTGGGTGAAAAAGTGAAAGTGTTAGCTCCCAGTCCTGTTGGACACTCTGACCCTGTGGACTGTAGCCCTCCAGGCTCCTCTGTCCCTGGAGTTTTCTAGTCAAGAATACTAGAATGGATAGCCGTTCTCTTCTCGGGATCTTCCCAACTCAGGGATTGAACCTGGGTCTCCCATATTGCAGGCACATTCTTTACCTTCTGAGCCACCAGGAAAGCTAAACAACGTCGAATTGGAGTTCCCATAGAAGGTTTCTACTAGATTCCTTATTGAGATAAAGACTTATTTGTACAAGCAAATACCGAGTAGGTATTTATTTTCCTGCATATGCTAAGCTTAGTGGGGCTAGATACTTATTCTTTGTCAAATTGGTATGGGTTTTAATAAATTACCTCTTTACTAGTTCATCTGGAGTCTTGTCTGGAGTCCATATCAAGATTACCAGTCTGTTGTTTGAGGACTCCATCTTTATTTGAAAATTAGAGTGTTACTTATAGAGTACTGACTATAATTCAGCAGTTTGGTTTACACATTCTGCTAGTTTGATTTTAAATTTATCTTTTTTTGTGTTAAACAACCAAGTGAAATATGTTTTGAGATAGAAGTGAGAAGCTTTTTTAAGTTTCTGACAGGCTTTTCCTTTTCTATTTGTTCTTAAGTACAAAAGTAATCATGATTCTCATCTGTTGGTAGATAGAATTCATGTGGGGTTTTTTGGGCACCAAGTTTTATAGTTGTCTGTGAAATTTTGCATGATTTGGAAATCTGTGAATAAAGAAGCATCTGTATGACTCAGTAATTATTCTGAAGAGAACTGTGATTGTTAATGAATTTTTGAAAAAAGTATTTTCTGTTTTAATAATATGTGTCTTTTTTCCTCCTCCAGAGAATGGATCTTGGAGAATGTCTGAAAGTCCATGACCTGGCTTTAAGAGCAGATTATGAAATCGCATCCAAAGAACAAGATTTTTTCTTTGAACTTGATGTATGTCATTTTGTTTTAACAAGTTAGATTACCTTTTGCAGTATAATATTTTGAATATAGATTGATATTTCTTAATGGATAAGCCTCTTAGCAAAATTATCTTTCTGTGGTTAATACAAAGCATGGTTTAAGGGAAGTCCGCAATGAGTCGGACACACGACCGAGCGACTAACACACACAACACACACATGAAGGGTAATACTAAATTTAGTAAGATTATGTACTTTCTTAACTAATGATAATTTTGAAAAATATGAAAGTGTGTGAAAGTTGTGTAATTCATATATTGATTTGAAAATTAAGGATATTCTTCCCAATTAGGTATTTGTGATTAAGAAAATACCATCTTAAATGTAAACAACTAATTTCTAGTGTATATAAAACCCTTTAATACTTAACTGAATTTTTATATTCATACTTGTTTTTGTATCTACAAATATACATATAAAGAGAGGGAAGATATTAAGGACTGTTTTTTTTTTTAATGTGTGTAAGAGAAGAAATATTAGAGGAAATAGAAGATGCTATATAGGTATCTAAAAGGCTCAAACTCTTTATTCTTTTTATACAAACATGAGAGTAGTTGGGAGTTTTTTTTTTTTTAAAGTAGAAGACATATCAATCAGCATTACATAAAACATACTGATGACCGTAAACCTTATGGTATATATATATATATATATTTTTTTTTTTTTCCTTACGGTATATTTTATCAGTGAGGTAACAGATGGTTTATTTGGTTTGGGAGAAAAGTAGTAAATAGCCACCATCCCACCCCCACCCCATTTACTTCTCTGAACTTCCAAGAATTTCTGCTAATGGAAATGAAGTCATCTATGTAAACATAATTTTAATATGGGGCTGGAGCAGTTGGGGAAATGCTTTAAGTGAATTTGTTATGATTTAACGTACACTGGGCATAAAATACTGCAGAAATTCACCAACATCTAGATGTAAGGGTGTGGGGTTTTCAGTCTTTTTCTGTTATGGTAAGTAGGAATGCATTGTGTTTATATGTCAGGTATCTAATTTGCATTTCTTATTATAAGTAAGTTTGAAATTTTCTCATGTATTTAGGATTTATTTATATGTCCTTTTCAGTGAACTTTCAGTGTACATTTTGTGTGTGTGTCGGGGGGTGCTATTTACTAACTTTGGATGTTAGTGGGGTTTGTTTTTTTTTTTTTTTTTAATTTTTGCCATGTGGCATATGGGATCTTAGCTCCCCAACCAGGGATCAAACTCACACCCCCTGTAGTGGAAGCAGGGAGTCTTAGCCACCAGACCACCAGGAAAGTCCTGGATGTTAGTATTTTTCTACTTGATTTGTACTAAATAGCACCTTATATATATGATGAAAATTAGTCCCTTGTCTCAGATAATATGTTGTGGTTTTTTCCTATTTCTTTTTTGGGAGTTGTGAGTTATGCAAAATATTTGTGTAGTTTATTAATTGTTAAAAAATCTGTTAAATTAAGTCAAAAGGCCTTCCCTGTCCTGCCGTGATAAGAATTCTGTTTCATGATTTCTTCTGGTATTTTTATGGCTTTGTTTTATGTATTTGAACCTGTGATTAAATTTATTCTGTTACAAGGAATTGAGGTATAGATCTCACTTTCTACATAGCTACTTGACCCATAGTTGACCAAGTTGACCCATGGTTGACCCATAGTTGACATAGTTGACCCAACACTACTTATTGATTAGTTCTATCTTTTTTTAAAGATAAAATTTAAGTTGATTAGAGTTAAATAACTATTTCTTTTTCATCGTAGATGAAAGGTTTTACATTTTCATGAAATGAATGGGTTAAATAACCATTTTTAGAATTTTATATGTGTCTAATAAATTTATATTTTTAAACATTGGAGTTTTGAATTAGCTGTATTTCTGCACAGTAAGATATGAAAGTCTAAGTTGGTTGGGTTGGGAATACATCTTTAAAGTTTAGTTTTATATGAACTGTTATTTATTTATAGACATACTAACATGTGCCTGATAAAATCTATGTAAATACTGATGTAGATTTTTAGAAAATTCTCAGTGGTTTATTCTTTGAGAAAAGAGCAAGTGTTCCTGATTGTAACATTTTCATTGTGAAAAATTTGAAGGACACAGAAAAACATATTACTAAAATTTATCCATATATTCAGAAATTGTTAATATTTAATGTATACTTGTCCATTTTTCTAATGCTTTTTTATTTTACAAAATTGGGCTCTGCTGCGTATAACATTTTGTACCTTTATTTACAAATGAAGCGTGAACATTTTCTTAGGTCCTTACGTGTTCTACTAACACCTTTTTTAAATGACTGAAGATTATATTTCTACATGTTACCTGGATATTTCCCCCATTTAACACTGTGAAGAACATCTTTGAATATTAATTTCTCCATATGCCTCTGATTACTTTCTTAAAATGGATTTCTAGAAGTAAAAGTTATTAAATCAGGGCATATTGTTAAGGCTTTTGATAAAGATTACCATATTGCCTTTTTATTGAGGCTGCACTGGTTTGTGATTCCTTTAGCAAAGTATGAGAGCGGCAGTTTCCTTACAGCCTTACATTTTCTGGGAATTTTTATGTTTGTTCTTTGTAGACTTGATAGATGATGATAGTGGTTTTCAATTTGTAGTTGAACTCACTTTTTTTTTTTTTATTCCCATAATAGCATTTTAAATAATAAAGTACAGTTTTTGAGTAAAGATATTTATGGATACAGTTGATTTTTCTTACAGTAATCGTCTTCATTAAACTTCGTAGGCTATGGATCATCTGCAGTCATTCATTGCAGATTGTGATCGAAGAACAGAAGTGGCTAAGAAAAGATTAGCAGAAACTCAAGAAGAAATTAGTGCTGAAGTTGCAGCGAAGGTAAGATGTTCAGTTATTTCATTAATACAAAGTAGTTTTACCTTACTATACTTTGAGGTATACTTTTTATAACTTTTTATCTTGTAATAATTATATTTATAGGAGATTGCAGAGACATATGTAGAAATTTTGCATACTCTTCCTCTTGTCCTCCCCTATGTTAACATCTTAAACAATTATAGTGTCAAAGTCATGAAGTTGATACTGGGCCAGTCCTTACATTTTATTCACATTTTATTAGTTGTGCATGTGTGTGTATCTGTATGCAGTTTCATCACATGTGTAATGGGTAACTACCACTGTAATTGAGTTACTTAACTGTAGCATCACTACAATACTCCCTCATGTTACTCCTTTATAGCCACACTCATTCCTCTACTTCTCTTGCCCTTGGCCACCACTAACCTATTTTCCATCCCTGTAATTATGTTATTTCACTTAATATTGCATAAATGGCATCATGCAGGTTGTATCCTTTTGAGATTGGCTTTTTACAGTCAGTACAACTTCCTTCAGTTTCATACAAGTTGTGTGTATCAGTAGCTCATTCTTAGGCAAAAATGTTTTGTTGTGAATTCCTGCATAAAGTAGAAAAAAAGTACAGTGAATCCCAGAGAATTCAAAGGCATCAGTCTTCTGCTATTTTATTATTTGAAAAGCAGATTGTAGATGTCATATCATTTCACCTTTAAAATATAACCACAAAATTACATTCATAAAGGTAACACATTTTTAATATTATCTAATACCCAGAATGAGTTCATTTTCCTGTGTAGAGTTGGTGTGTTGAATCAGAGTTCAGAAGTCCACATGTTGACTTTTGCTGATTTGATGACTCACTGCTTTATAATGTTGTGTACCATTCAGTTTAGTCTGGCACATTTTACGAAAATGCAGGATGGAGACAAAGTTACCCAGTAGAGTTTAGGTGACATCATTAAATGTAGTGCTCAGATATGTGTGTACAAAGTGAAATGGATCCCTTGTCTGAGGAGAGGATTATGTATAACCGACTTTCTCTGGAAGGTTTTCTTAATATGGGGATTGTAAAGATAGGTGTCCTAAAGTACAAGGGATTTCATATCTCATGGTAGGAAGAGATCCATGGCGGTTGGCTAGACCCCAGCTGTATTGGTTTATAAAGCTTTGTATTAACGTTATCCATCACTATAAAAATGCTGTCTTAACAGGTTACCTCAAAACTTAAAACATTAAGAATTTATTTAGCTCATGAGTCTGTAATCAGTAACTTAGGCTGTAATTGACTAGTCAGTTATTCCTCTAAGGTGGGCTCATTCATGCCTTCCAGTCAGCTGGAGGTCAGAAGTCTGGCCTGAACGTATTCTCATGGTGGTAGCAGAGGTGCAGTAGTATCAAGCCCCGTCGTACAAGCAGTTTTAAGCCTTCCCTTCTGTCATATTTGCTACTATCCTGTTAACCAAAGCCAGTTAGTTACCTGCCCAAAGTCAGAGTCGGCGTGTGATGGTGTTCACATAGCAAAGGGCACAGGTGCAGGGAGGGTGAAGAGCTTTGGTCACTAATGCAGTCTTTCTGTGGCAGATACTTGAGGAAGATACCATTTTGTTAAAGTAGGACAATAGTGATAATACAGTTGGGAATTTCTTTGAGGGACAAATATCTTGGATTGAGGGAAAGTTAAGGAGTAAAGATTATTTGCACACTACTTTGTTGGGACTGGGTGTCAATGTCAAATCAAAACCTTTTTTGTTAATTGGCCATACAGGCTGAATACTTCTTTTGTAGCCAGGATAAAGACTGTCATGTGCCATTAAAACAACAGTAATGAACTAGATACCCATAATGGTGGTGATGAGGTGGTATATCAGAACCCAAGGAAAGAAATAATCCCAATGGAAAGGGATGGACCATGGGAGAAAGGTGCCATGCTGGTATACTAAATATTAGTAATATGCCGCATGCAAAAACAAGGCACATTTTCTCATTTCTCACAACCTTTAGAGGTAGGTATTATCCCTACTTTTCAGATGAGGAAGTAGATTCAGGTATGGTAATCTGGCCACAGTTACATAGCTGTTAATTGGTTTGGCCGTAAACCAGATAGATATGTTGGATTCTAAAGCCATATCTTCACTTTAAAGAATATCTGCCAATTCTTTTCTTTTACTCATATTTGAGCATAATATCTTAGGCATTGGAAATACAAAAATGGCATACAGCGTGATGTCATATAGATAAAAGTAGTTGTCATAGAAGATACAGAGATGGCACAAAGGAGGATATGGCGCGCTCTGCCTAAGTGTCTTAAGTGAGACTGAGGTGTGGCTATTGATTGTCCACATAACAGACTGTTTAGTTGGATCTTAATGAATAGATAGACATACACGAGGCAGGTCAAGAAGATAATGGACGACATCCTAGCAAGAGAGAGCAGTATGTGGAAAGTCAGAGAGGAAGAAAACAACAGGGTAAGTTTCGGAAACACATAACAGTAGATTTGTTGTGAAGTCAGAGAACAGAAAGAGATAGTTTGGAAAGGTACAGAGTGCCAGATTGTGGAAGAAAATGTATTTTATACTTGGAATACGATGCCAAAGCAGAGGTTAAAAAGCAATAGTTATATTGAGATCAGTTGTCTCCCTGAACTCACTAAAGTAAAGGCAGGCTCAAAATACTCTAATGTCCACCAATTCATTTATGATAAAAGTATTATTTTTATTGCTTTAGATAGCTTAAACATCTTTTCTGAGCACTTAGGAAATATTTTGAACTTCAGTACATGCTGCTTTTTACTCATGATCTTCTTTTCTGTTTCTTTCTAGGCAGAACGTGTTCATGAGTTAAATGAAGAAATTGGTAAATTGTTGGCCAAGGTGGAGCAGCTAGGAGCTGAAGGAAATGTGGAGGAATCCCAGAAAGTAATGGATGAAGTGGAAAAAGCACGGGCAAAGAAAAGAGAAGCAGAGGTAGTTTATACTTACAGTTTACAGAGCCTTAGCATCTGTACTTGCAAAAGAACATACTGATCAGAAATTACTGAAAGTTAAAGGAAGCTTAAACTAGTTTAAAAGCATACAGCTAGTTTGTGTTGTGCCAGTGGGTTGTATATCAACTAGTGGTGGTCCTGGAATTTAGAGTCATTGATCTGTTGAAATTTATAACTGGAAATGAAATTATCTAAACCTCTCTCATACACACAGACACACACATACAGTATTGATAGCCATGGTCACTGTGATACCCTACCCCCTTCTCCATCCTCATGCAACTATAGTACTCTCCCTTTTCTTCCATCCTCATTACAGTCTGCTAGCACACTGGAAGCCTCCTCTCATTCTTCCTCCACAGCACAGCTCAAAATCTGCTATCCTGCAGACAAAGTTCTATTTTTTTTTTGCCCCTCCCCCCGATGTTTTTTAGAAAATCAAATACCTTCAAATAAGATGGCATCTTCCCTTTTGCCATAGTCTACATTGTTCTTAACTGTATCACACCTGGGTTTGATTTGTTCTTATTTCTGTAGCCTTTTGAGGCAGAAGCTTAGAGCATTCATTTAGTTTATTTTATTGATTTATTTTTCATTTTTTTACTTTTACTGAAGTATAGTTGATTTACAGTGTTGTGTTAATTTCTGGGCTTCCCGGGTGGTACTAGTGATAAAGAACCTGCCTGCCAATGCAGGTTAGACCTAAGAGACACTGGTTTGATCCCTGGGTCGGGAAGATCCCCTGGAGGAGGGCATGGCAACCCACTCCAGTATTGCCTGGAGAATCCCTTGGACAGAGGAGCCTGGCAGGCTACCGGCCATGGGGTTGCAAAGAGTTGGACCCAACTGAAGCAACTTAGCAGGCTCAGCAAAGTGACTCACTTATTACATATATATATATTTTCTTTTCCATTATATTTTATCATGGATTATTAAATATACATATAGTTCCTATGCTATACAGTAGAACTTTGTTGTTCATCCATACTGTATATACTAGTTTGTATCTGCTATTCCCAAGCTTCCAATCCTTCCCTCCTCCAGCCTCCTTGGATCATTCTTCTAAGCACAGCAATAGCATCTCCCAGATTTTCATATGTTGTGTTTTTATTTCCATTCATTTCTAAAGATTTGCTAATATTGCTTATGATTTCTTTTCTGATCTGTGGGTTTTAAGAGATATGTTTAGTTTTTATTTTTACTGATTTTAATTCTGTTGTGGTCAGAAAATATGTTGTAATTTCAGTTCTCTTAAATATGTCAGTACTTGTTTTGTGACCCTGCCTATGGCCTGTCTTAGTGAATGTTCCATTTGCACTTGGATGATACTCTGCCTTGTTAAATGAAGTGTTCTGTAAATGTCCTTTGAGTCAAGATAGTTGATAGGTTTTTTTCAACTCATCTATATCCTGTTGGTTTTCCTGCCTACTTATTCTACTATTAATATTTACTGAGAGGAGAGGTTGAAGTCTAATTGTGGATTTCTTTATGCTTTCCATTTAGTCACTTTTTGCTTCATATATTTTGGAGCTCTGTTACCAGCTTAGTAGACATTTAAGGTTTATATGTCTTTGATTAATTTAACCCTTTGTTTTGAAATGTCCTCTGTCCCTATTAATGTCCCTTGTTTTGAAATCTCCTTTGATGTTATTAAAGATTCTAGCTTTTTTTATAAGTTGAAGTTGTACACTATAGAGAAACCACTGGAGCAGAAAAAGAAGTATAACTAATAGCTGACATAAAGTGGAATCCTAAAAAAGTACTTAATCCAAAAGAAAGGCAGGAGAAAAGAAAGAAACAACAGGTTAGACATACAGACAGTAAATAGTGGGATGGTAGACTTAAACCCAGTGTGTCAATAATTATATTAGATATAAATGGTCTCAATAGTCCAATTAAAAAGAGATTGTGAGACTAGATTTACAACAAAAAGAAATAAGACTTAACTGTGTACTAGCTGCAGGAAATCCACTCTGAATACAGAGACACAGTTTAAAAGGTTCTAGGCTGGGAAAAGGTACACCAAGTAGCCATTCTAGGTAGTTTCAATTTCTTAATGTTAGGATTTCTTTAAATGTAGTTAATGTCAGTCCAGAAAATAAACAGTTTGTGGTACCACCATGACCTCTAAGCCTAAAGCCTTTCATTTCTCCCTCAGTAGAAAGAGGAGGAATAATAAGGCACAAAAATTGTGTTGACCTGTCTTGTGCTTTCGGTTTTTCTTTTTAAAAATATTTTATTTTGAAATATTTTAAGAAAAGTTAAAATATCAGGTGAAGAATTCTCCTGTATCCTTCTCGCAGACTCTTCAAAAATGTTAACATATTACCGCATTAGCTTTATCATTCTCTTCCTACATCTGTGTGTGTGTGTGTGTGTGTGTGTGTATTTGAACTGTTTGACAATGTTATAAAAATGATGCCTCTTTATCCCTAAGTACTTCGGTGTGTATTTCATAAAAACAAAGATATCTTACTATATAACCACAGTGCAGTTGTCTGAATCACGGAATAATATTGTTAATACTGTTAATCTGAAGACTTTGTTTAGATTTTACCATTTGTCCCAATAATATTCATTTTCAGAAAAGAAAAAAAATTTTTGTTTAAGATCCAGTCCAGGATCATGTATTGCATTTTAGTTGTTATGTCTCTCTAGTCTAATTTAATCTGGTACCTCAGTCTTTGTCTTACACGGTCTTGACTGTTTTGAAAAGTATAGACCTGTTATTCTGTAAAATGTCCTTCACTTTGGATTTGCTCACTATTTCTTTCCATTAGATTTTTGAGAGGAATACCACTGAAACAATGTCACAGCTTATCAAAGGCATGTGTTAGTGGTTTGTTCCCATGTATACCTCTATCTCCTCCCTCTCGAGCCGCCCTACCACCTTGCCCCTTAGGTCACCACAGGACACGGTGCTGGACAGTGGCTCCCCACTAGCTGTCTGTCTCACACATGGTAATATGTGGTTTTGTTGCTAAGTCATGTTCCACTCTTACAACTCCATGGACTGTACCCACCACGCTCCTCTGTCCATGGAATTTCCTAGGCACGAATACTGGACTGGGTTGCCATTTCCTTCTCTAGGGGATCTTTCTGACCCAGGAGTCAAACCCGGGTCTCCTGCATTGCAGGTAGATTCTACCAACTGGAGCTAATAGGAAATCCCTAGTAATGGGAGAAATGTCTTATTTAGGAAGAAAATATGTGCAAATGAAACAGCAGACAACGGATTAATCTCCAAAGTGACAAACAGCTCATGGAGCTCAATATTTTAAAAAAAAAAAAAAAAATCAAAAAAAAGGTGGAAAACCTAAATAGACATTTTTCCCATTGCTTTTTTAAAAACAATTGGTATACAAAAACTGGGCCCAAAGTGGAGGCTGCGTTTTTTGTTTTGTTTTTTAAATTTCACTCATTAATTTTTGGCTGCGTGTGGGCTTTCTCTAGTTGTGGGAAATGGGGCTACTCTCTAGTTGTGGTGCAGTGACTGCTTTTGTTGCGGAGCACGGGCTCTAGAGTGCTGGCTCAATAGTTGAATTATGTGGGATCTTCCCAGACCAGGGATTGAACCAGTGTCCTTTGCTTTGCAAGGCGGATTCTTAAAGAACCTCCTACAGATTTTCTCCAGCAGTGTCCACTTGTATTTCCTTAGCCAAAGCTATGTGGAAACTTGGATATGTCATGCTTTGAGCTGGGCATGCTGCTGCCTCAAACAAATCAGAATTCTGTCAGTATAAGGAAAAAGGATAGAGTGGATGCACAAATCCACTAATTTGTTATCGCCTTAATGAACTTAATATAAATAAAACGATGAGTCCAAGACCTCTTAATCTCAGTTAGGCACCTTTCATCTATGTCTTATAGAGCCCCTCTGTTTGAGGTGAAGTTTTATCATTTGGAGGCCTTGTCTGTATTTACATAGTGGGGAAAATGATACGTGGGAGGAAGCTGTGTGGAAGACATGCATTACTTTTCTGCAAGCATGGGCGACTACCTCCTTGATTCTTCACTGATGTATATTTTTGGGGTTGCTGAATCTCATTTTTAACAAAAAAATAAAACAGAACATTGAGAACACCTTTGAAGAAAGTTATATCGTGTTACTGTTATTGTAGTTCTTGGCAAAAGGTAATTTGAGGCTCTGATCTTTCATTTCTGGTGGAGAAGTCCTGAGGACAGAGTATGGGAGTAAGGGGGGAATCTATTTTGTGACAAAAGAGCCATACTTTTGTATGTTCACTAGAAGCATTTTTTTTTTGGTATGAACATAGTGAATTTTGTTTAATTGTGTGATTTGAATGCAGTTTATATGAACATGGTTTTTCTCTTTTGTTTAGGAAGTTTATCGGAATTCTATGCCAGCTTCCAGTTTCCAGCAGCAGAAACTTCGAGTCTGTGAAGTTTGCTCTGCCTACTTAGGTCTTCATGATAATGACAGACGACTGGCTGATCATTTTGGGGGTAAACTGCACCTGGGATTTATTGAAATAAGAGAGAAGCTTGAAGAATTAAAGGTACATTGGTAAATTAATATCCCTCACTTTGTCTAGTTATAGCCACTCATTTGTCTTCCTGTGTAGTATTTTTCTTTGGTATTGAAGACTATTCTTAACTGTGAATCTGTTAATAATTCAGATTATAGGATTTTGTGTAGGATTGTAAATGAAAATAGCTTGTTTAATGGATGTCTGACAAACTTTAAAAATCTTCTTATTCTTGGTGGAGATAATATTTTGTCTTGGACATTATATTGAATCAGGTAGGAATCTTGCAAACTGGGTTATAAAATCATACGAGCCCCCTTAAATTTCCAATGATATTGTCTTTTTTTTAAAAAAAGCTGGTAATAATGTTAATACAACATTTAAGGGAAGATTAAAAAAATGATCCAATATTTATTTAAAATATTTTGCAGTTCACTAAATAGCAGACTTTAGAACCTCTAGTTTTATGCTTCTGCTCCTACTTCAGAACTTAGAAACCTATTTTTTTTAAATGGACAGTCTGTGTCATTTAAATATATAGACTGATGTAAGAAAGGCAACACAACTGTTACTTGTCTGCCGAATTCTTCTGAGAAGGTAAGTTAGCAAAGACAGAAAAGGATATTTCTAAACCATTGAAAGAAAGCACAGTCAATGGATAGAACCAATTTACATTTCAACAGTCTGATGTGGCTAGTTGTTTTTGTTTTTTTTTAATTAGCACTGTCGCATTTTGTCATGAATTGAGAACTATCTCAAAGATGGCAAACACCAGTAGTGACTTTTTGTGTAGTTATCACTGAAATTAACCCAGCATCCATGGCTGGGCATTTAAAATAATGTAGAATCAGAATCCGGAGAAGGCAATGGCACCCCACTCCAGTACTCTTGCCTGGAAAACCCCATGGACGGAGGAGCCTTGTAGGCTACAGTCCATGGGGTCGCTAAGAATCAGACATGACTGGGCGACTTCACTTTCACTTTTCACTTTCATGCATTGGAGAAGGAAATGGCAAGCCACTCCAGTGTTCTTGCCTGGAGAATCCCAGGGACGGGGAGCCTGGTGGGCTGCCGTCTATGGGGTCGCACAGAGTCGGACACGACTGAAGTGACTTAGCAGCAGAATCAGAATCACCTAGGGATGTCTCCATATTTTTAGTTTATTGTGAGCTCTTGTCAGTATTCTGAGTAGCTTAGATGATCTTGGGTAAGTTTTTTGAAATTACAAAATGAGTGTCAACATAGCAAATAATTCATTGGGCTCAAAGATAAAAATGGTACCTGATTGGGTACCAAATACAGACCTAGCAGCAGAACTGTTGAGAGTTTCACTGGTATTTTTTAAAGCAGTAGCATCAGGATTGTAACCAGACGTCAACAAGACATTTCTGTGTTGGAAATCATAGAGCATGGAAACAATGATTTATAATGATTGATTTTTAAAATCATTTTTAAAGAATTTAGAAGATATTAAGAGGAGAAAAATCTTATAAAAGTGATTTTGAAATATCATTAAGAAGTCATGGAGAAATATGAAATTTTATATGAAAGAGGAAACATTTTAGAAACCAGACTTGTAGTAAGCTTAATGATCATACCTGACAAAACTTCACATTGAATTGGTATTAAAAAGTTTTGATATTAGATATGGTAAAGTTGAGGATAATGCTAAGAATGGGCCCGGTAAATAATGCTTCTCATTTAATATTATTTGAACTGTCATTGTGTTTTAAGAGAGTTGTAGCTGAGAAGCAGGAGAAAAGAAACCAGGAACGCCTGAAAAGAAGAGAAGAAAGGGAGAGAGAAGAAAGGGAGAAGCTGAGGAGGTATGGTGTAATTACTGGAGTAGTCCAATTACCTGAAGTGGGACATTCCTGGTTCTAAAAAAGATGTGATGGTGTATAAGATTTTAGGCATCAATAAATCTGGACTTGGGAAATTTCTGTTTACTCTTAAAAATATTACCATATGAAACAGTGTTTATTCAAGTATATTAATTAATGACTGTTTAAGTCTAGGAGATTTCCTTCAAAATGTAGGGAAGAGGGAGTCAAGAGCCCCTCACATCTTTATGTTTAGAAGATTTACAACAAGGCCGGTTTCTAGCCCTTTGATTATCATAATAGGCTCACTTTGTGCCAGACTGGCACAGAACTATTTTATGGTACATACTTGTTGATAGAAGGTCTGGGTGTGTTGGTTTTTTTATCTGTTTCACTGATTATTTTACATGCTACTTTGATTCTGTATTTCTTCAATTTAGAAGCTATAAACTGTTAAAACTTTTATTAATTTAATAATAGCTAAATATGCACAGTTCTTTTATATTTGTATATTAGCTGATAAAATCAGGATTCTTCATATTTAGAACGTGTGCATGTTCTGGATCATTGTTACCCATTGGCAGCAAGTTGTGTGATAAAATGTTTAAAAACTTCCAACAATTTTCAGATGGAGGGATGTGCCAGTAAAGACTTACCTGTCATTCTAACTTACAATGTTTCCTTAATGGTGTTATATTTCTCTGAAATTTAAATAGCTTCTCTTCAGTAGATGTCCTTGAGTTAATTAAAACCCTTGATAATACATGACTCAGCTATGTCAACTTCCTCCAAACTTTGAGCATGTTACATGCAGTCTATTTCAAGACACTGAAACTGATTTCATCTTTGTTACATGGCTTTTAACAGGTAATCTTTCTGCACTGTGATGACAAAAATGAAACAAAGCTGTATATGGACATGTTCCTGTTTAGAGGAAGTGCTTTTATTCTTCCATCGATACATTTTCTTCATTTACTAGTAAATTTTACCTCAGAGCTTAATCTCTGTTCTCTTTTGTGTATACTAAGTTTTCATGGAAATAGCGCCCAGTATTGTAATATTTAAGATAATATAAATGGAATTTGAATCTCAGTTTAAGTTAAAATTCAACAGAATATACTGCCACTAATATAAATTATACATCTGAGATGACAGCCAAATAAGAAAAAGAATTCTTTGCAGAGCTACATTTTCACATCTGTCAGAGATGAAAGTTCATCGCAGCTTACTCTTTTAAATGCCATATTTCTTTTAATATTGGTTATGAAATGTTAACACTTTCAGAAATTTTTAAAAAGAATTTTTTTTAACTATATGTGAACTTGAAGGACCCTAAGTATGGAAGATGAGGAAACTACTAGTAAGTATAAAATTATACACAAAATGGGGTTCCAACTATGGTGTAGAAAGGATAATGATAAAAATTATCACTTTACTGGATGCTTACTGTGTTCCAGCTACTGTGCTAATAAGACTTCCTATATTAATTTATCTATTACTTGAAAGCCCCCTGTGAATTTTTTTATTACTATTCCTCTTTTTCAAATGGCAAACTAAGCTTCGGGAAGATATATAATCTGCCCAGGCCACACAGATAGTGAGTGGTGGAAACAGTTATGGCTTATATGAGGCTCAGTCCACATTCATGTTTCAACCAAGCTATATACGCTCCACCAAAAAAAACCCTTTGACTTCCTGGTAACCATAATATTTGCTCTTACTGTCTGTTGACCTTTAATTGTGTGCTGGGCAACATGAGGAGTACTTTATATCAGAGAATTGTGTGTCATATTAAGAAACATTGTAAGATTGAATTGAGTGTTTTAGGGGTTATCGTATGAGGTGATAATTCCTGAGTATGTGTCCCTCAGAAGTTTTATTCTGTTCCCAGAGGGAAAGACGAAATGACAGATGTAAATAACAAAGAATTCTTTCCAGGTTGAGAGGTGGTTTTTGGAGAATTAGTGAATTGCATTGTGTTTTAAGTCTTCTAGGAGCATATTCTTAAGAGCCAGGTAGCCTAGGTAAGGGGTATGCCAGAGTGGGAAAGTCTGTAAAGTTTGTGGTGCTTTTGGGGAATATTTGTGTATACACACATGTGCCTTGTATTTATGAAGTTAATATAAAAATTAGAAATGGGAATGTAATTTTAATAGCACATTGTACCTTTTCCTCCTTATTTATAGTTATTTTTCTAAAAATAGAATTCTTTTTTTAGGTCTCGATCACATAGCAAGAATCCTAAAAGGTAGGTATTATACAAGATAAGTGGTGAAGCTGTTTTTCGAGGGTAGTGAATGAGAATTTATTAGTACTCTTAATTCTTTTGTAATGCATATTTGAGCAGTGTCATTTGAGAAGAAGTTGGTCAGAAGATACTCATGAGATACAGTTTAGTTTTATCAGAGTAAATTATATACAGGGCCCTGAAGTGACAGAGAAAGCTAAAAATATTTCAGACTATTTCATTAAAATCTTGTTTAGAAGCTCAGTGTATACATGTGACAAGATTTACTTTTTAAAAATCAGTTTGGGTGGTACATCTAAGAAACATATTCTAAGAGGTTGTATCTGTTCAAAATACAAATAAATAGTTGGATATGTTTTGAATGAGGCAATCCATGGCGAGTTAATTAAGGGAAATGAAAATGTTTAGTTTGCACCCAAGCTAGACTTGGGCTTTATTACTTCTCCCTTTGTACAGGGACCACATAAAGTAATGGGGCATTTTACATCCTTACAAGAGAAAGAGGAGAAGACTGAATTTTGATCTTTGGCCCTAGTATTGGTGGACTTTCTGAAGCTTTTTCCCCAAATTCTTCCATTGCTCTCACTCAAATCACATCTTCTTTTTGAAACCTTCTATGTATTCTTGACTCTAAAGAATAAGAGCATTTGCTGTTATGAAAGCAAAATCTTGTGTGTCTATTAAATGTCCCTTAGTACTTTTTAGTACTTTTTTTTTTAGTACTAAGTACTTTTTTTTGGTGGCGGGGAGAGGGTTCCCTTGTAGCTCAGTCAGTAAAGAATGCCTGCAGTGCAAGAGACCTGGGTTTGTTCCCTGGGTCAGGAATTTCCCCTGGAGAAGAAAATGGCAACCCACTCCAGTATCCTTGCCTGGAAAATCTCATGGACAGAGGAGCCTGGTGGGCTGCAGTCCATGGGGTTGCAAAGAGTTGGGCACGACTGAGTGACTAACACTTACTTAGTACTTTTTAGCATCTTTCAGTGGTATTTCTGCTTAAAACACTGAAAACTAAGACATTAGTCAGGACCAGTTGTATCAGCTAATTTATATGGTGGTGAGTTTCTCAATCCAGAATGAGAAGTAGAAATATTAAATGATTTTTTAGTGATTGGTTACTGTAGGCTTGTCCCTTTATTGGAGAGAAATTTAAACCCTTTGTACACAGAACATCCTTAGACAATCAGGCTAGATATTTAATTTCTACTACCCTAGTCCAAGCCATGTTTTACCTCACTATTTACAGTAACCTCTTAATGAGTCTCTTAATTTCTATTCATATCCATGTCCCTTTTTGGCCTCAGTCTGTTTTTTACAAGAATAAAAAGTGTATTCTTTAAAAAGTAGAATAAAGCAAATCAGTTCTGTCTTCAAACCTTCTAAAGGTATTCCATTTCACTCAGAGGAGAAGCTGAAATCCTCACCATGGTTTTTAAGAGGAGTGATCAATCTGCCCTAGGAGAGTTAGCGGTTTATTTCTTGTCTCAGCACGTTTATTAATAGCTCCCTCTTTTCCTCTGTATAATTTAATACTGAAAGCATCCTGGTTTGAATGACAAAGTACTTGGTCATCCTGATATTACTCCCCCCTTGCTAATCTCGTTACAGCCAGAAGGGTTTCTTTTGTTCTGTGAACTTTCTCCCCCTTAGGGCCTTTGCACCTGTGTTTTCTCTACCTGAAGCATTCTTCTCTGTGCTCCCTGATTAGCTGATTTCCTTAGTTCATTTCATCTTTGCTTAAATGCTATTTTATAAGAAAAACCTTTCCTGCCTATTCTGTATAAAAGAGGACTGCCTAATTTCACTCTTTTTTTACCCTTCTGTCATGTCCTTACTACCTGACCTATCTTTTATTTGCGGCCTACATGTCTTTGGAGGCCTCTTTCTGGAGCTTGAGCACCAGAGATTAAGGACTTTGCCGTACGTGCTGCTCCGTCTCCCTAGTACCTGGAACAGTGCAGTAGGCACCCAGGAAATGTTTTTACCAGTTATTGTCAAGTAAAATGAAATATGCTTTGGGGAAATAATTTGTTAAAATAGCTTAGAGTGAGTGATATAAGAAAATACCATTTGATAAAAACACATGGAATGGATTTTCTCTTTTCCCTGTGTTTCCTCTCAGAAAAGTTTAATTGTGGAAACACTGTATTCAGCTGTGATTGATACTAGATCCACAGTAGATGCCTTTCTTTCTAATGTTGATATAAGCTGAATACTTTTAAACTGTAACAAAGTAATCATTTGAAAATAAACCCAGTTTATAACTTACCGGAATAATGTGCTTTTGAATTTAACTGTAATCAGATTACGAGAAAATATTTCATTATTTACACACCATCTGATAAGTTTTACCTATTTAAGTTTGCAGGGTGATTTTTCAGTAAATTTTTAAGTTGTGCAGCTGTCACAATCCAGGTTAGAACATTTCCATCACTCTTAACAATATTCATTTATTTCTTCCTCATTGTTTCCCAAGTGTTTTATATCCTCTATATATGTTGTCCCCACCCTGACCAAATACACAATACATAAGTTAGTTTTGTAACCCAATAGAGGCTACCGAAGTGTTTTTCCTTCTCTGTATGCCTACATACTTGTTGTAAATATTATTTTTTTGCAGTTTAAAGTTCTCTAAAATGATTTACGCATTTAATCTTTTTCTTCCCAATAAATTATGTACTACTTGCATAGAGAACTGTCTTAACTGTTTTGATTACATTGACAAGACACATTGTGGGCATTTAAATTTGATGTTCATATAACCTTTCCAATTCAGTGAGTTAAAACTTACACTAAACAATATTCTTTCTCATGTGTCTCCTCCCTTCTGTTCATGTACACCAGGTACATACTTTGTTTCTAAAGTATACTAAAAATCATAGTTAAATCCATAAAGCATGTAGGTAATATAGTCCTTGGCATGTAGTAGTATTATAGGTTGTTTCCGTCATTTAAAAGAATACTTCTGATGTAAATTTATACAGCACTGACCTGAGAACTGTTTGTTCTTTCAAAATTCTAGTATGTAGTTATTTAACATACCAGCAGTTTATTTCAGTGTACATTTAGCTGATTTGAAATAGTATTGGCATTAAGTTTCTCTGTAAAGAATAGGCTTTAGTAATTGGGAAACTTAGTGCCAACTAAACTAAAAAATTAAATATCTTTTCTAGATCCAGGTCCAGGGAGCATCGCAGACATCGATCTCGCTCCATGTCACGAGAACGGAAAAGGAGAACTCGATCCAAATCCCGGGAGAAACGCCATCGCCACAGGTCCCGCTCCAGCAGCCGTAGTCGCAGCCGCAGCCACCAGAGAAGTGGGCACAGTTCTAGAGACAGGAGCAGAGAGCGATCGAGGAGGAGGTACTGAGGTCCATAGGAGGATATGGAACTGCCTTTACAGTCTAGACTTGGAATACTAGTGGTTTGAACTTGCATCTGGTGATTTGTACACATTTGTGTGTGTGTGTATAACTTTTTTTTCCCTGATTATATGGGTAGTTCAGAAAGAATATACTTATGAGCCAGAGTAAGAAATTGGAACCAATACGTGCAGAGGTTATTGCTTTTCTCTGGTTAGTGTGTCTTGGGGAAAAGTACTTTATGGGCAAATAATTTTAGGTACCAGTACTGTGAGAGCTTCTCCAGTATGTATTGGCAAATTAGGAACTCTGAGAAGTCCTTTTGTTAAGAGTTGCTTGACTTACTGTTTTCTAAACTTCTTGGAGCTGGTGTACTTTTTCAGAGCAGATAAATTCAGTATATTCTTGTTTATTCTGCACTATAGGTATGCAATGTTATATACAGTTAGCTTGGCAGGGCAGGTTCAGAATTTTAAGGAAGTTAGACATCACTGGCATGAAAATTCAAAACATGCAGGGAGGGCAAACCCAGGGTGAGGTATGTTAAAGGACTTGAACATCTAATCAGGACAAAGGATTATAATGTGATGGAGCCTTTGTACTCATGATCTGTATAGACCAAGCTCCCCAAACTTCTCAGGTCCCATCATGGCCCTTAAGCCAGGTCATTTCTATGGAACAGAAACATTTTTTGAGTGCCTATTATCTACTAATCTCAAGCTTTCTATGGATTATTACTCCACATAAAACCTGTGATAAATTTCTAACAGGTTTCTGCAGATTCCTTTTTTTATTTTTGGCGCCTTAGCTAGCCATTCCCTGAAACTGCTCACAGATTGAGTTGGATATGATAGGCCCTTTTATTTATTTTTTTATTTTCTCGCCTTGTTCCAAGTAGGTTCCCACCCCCTCCTCCAGCTTTATTGAGGTGTAATTGACAAAGTTGTAAGATATTTAAAGTGTACATTGTGGTGATTTGCTATACATGTACATTGTGAAAGGATTCCTCCCATCTAGTTAGTTAACACATCCATCACCTCACATATATTTTTGCTGTTTTTGGTGAGAACATTTATGTTCTACTCTTAGAAAACCAAGTAGTTCTTCTACTGTACTAGGCCTAGTAAACATATATATATATAAAAGGTAGTTCAGCAACTTTATTCAAGTGAATTAGGACATAGGACTAATATTTTGACAATAATGAGATTAACCTAAGTGCTAAACTGGAATCAGAGTAAACAGTATGGGAGTTTAGTGCTAGTGCTAAGTCGCTTCAGTCGTGTCCATCTCTATGCGACCCTATGGACTGTAGCCCACCAGGCTTCTCTGTCCATGGGATTCTCCACGCAAGAATACTGGAGTGGGTTGCCATTTCCTTCTCCAGGGAATCTTCCTAACCCAGGGATCGAACCTGCATCTCTTATATCTCCTTTTTTGGCAGGCGGGTTCTTTACTGCTAGTGCCACCTGGGAATTTAGATGAGGGAAATATCAGAGTAATTAAAAAAGATAGCTTCAGGGAGTAGCCTATAGCCTAAATAGAGTAGGTATAATTTGAATAGATAAAACCAGGTAGGAAAGAGATATTTCAGATATTACAGGCACATGCAAAGAATGAGCTGGGAATTTGTGAGTTTTTAAGGGACAGAGTTGTTCATAGTGTGCTTCTAGGTCACTTAAATCATTAAAACTAAAGGCACACAGTACAGTGCCCAGAAAAATACATTTTAAAAAATTCTCCATGAATCTTACCTACACTGTAAATTTTAAGAATCATCTTGCTGGTTGGTAGAAGGTCTAGATAATTTCTCTTGTCACCTTGGCCCCCGTCATTGTTTTGGTATCTCTGCACTCCTTTAAATATTGTCATTGGTGGTGGCGATGGCGGGGTAGGCATGAAGTCTCCCTCTTCGGGGACCCAGTCCCTAATGTTTCCTGTGTTTATGAAGATAATATAGGAAATTTTGACTACCATACTACCTGACAGCCCTCATCCAATATTTTCAGCATATTGTTCATAAAGAGGATTGTTTTTGTAGAAGTATTTCTTTCCTCAAGAACACTTCTAATCTTGATACTCAGATTACTGTCTCGAAGCAGTATTTTGTTTTTTGCTGAAAATGAGCAATTGCTATTGAAATCTACTTGATATAAAAGAAAATATCAAGTTATTGCTACATAGTAACAGTTTTAATTTCGAGGTAAAAATCCCAGCTAAAGGTCTTTAATAACTTGGCGTTCTTCTGCTTCAACTGAAGTACTGGTCTCAGTAGATTCTGCTTGCAGCCTTTCCTGGCAACAGCCACCCTTGGTAAATGAGGACCATGTGCATTTTTCTGCTGCCTGCTGTGTTCAGGTGCATACAGTGCAGACTTCAGAGTCAGACTACTTGGGTGAAAATGGCCTTGGCCGAATTATCTAATTAGCCCTCCTGTCTTTCCTTATCTACTTGGTAGAAGAGTACCTGCTTCATCAGAATTATTGGTATACTGAGTAAAAAATTGCTTTTGTACAGGACATTGTAACCTCTGGCAAAATATTAGTTGATACTCATCTCACAGTCTGTCGTCGTTTCTCTGGGACTCAGCAGCAGTACCTGTCCTTACTCTTAGGCAGCATCTCAGTCTTCTCTCATACTCTGTTCCTACAAAGACATGGGTGGGATGTGTGGAGTGTGATTTAGCATGATTTTAAAATTAAGCTTATTAAAACCTTAATTCAGTAGAATGCTCAAAGTTGACATTTAATCTTTTAACCTTTCTGGTTTAATCTTTTTAAACGATATTTCTAAAGCTGCCTAGTATAGTAGTGTTTTTTTCCCTTGCCTTAGTTGTTGAAAGTATTACTTAATCAGGCTTCAGATCCTAATTCTGAGCATGGGTTAAGTGAGATAATTATGTAAAAGTACCGTGTCGCCTGTAAAGAACCAAATAAATGTGATATGTTCCTAATTTATTCTAGATGTTGAAGGTATAGAAGATTCCATATTAATTCTGATCCCCTAGTATCTTTTGGTTTTCCTTCTGATTGAATCTCTGGTATTAGCTTATATTTACCTTTCGTATTGGCTCGGTATGGGAATGGAAAGGGGGTATTAAGAAACAGTTTTGGTTAATCAAGATTTATTATAGTGTGATCACCTGTCTTTTATTCTGTTTTTTTTCCTATTGGTTGAATGAGCTAACTCAGGAGGAATAAAGCAGAGTTTTAAAATAATCAGTGGTTACTTAAAGCCATATCATTGAGTAGTTCTCTTATCTAAATTGAACATTGGCAAACTGTTGCCTGCAGGCCAAATCTGGCCCATTGGCCTGTTTTTATATAGCCAGGGAGCTATGGATGATGGTTTTTATATTGCTAAGGAATTGACAAAAGGAAGAGGAAGAATATACCACACTTACATGACCTGTAACACCTAAAATCTTTACATCTCTGGCCAGACAGCAAAGAAAAATTGGTTCCTGACTCCTATCATAAGTCAGTGCTTTCCATCTAATTTGGAATGTACATTCTGTTTTTAAAATGCTGGATAACATTTTTAAGGTATTATCTTGTATATTTTCATATATTAAATACATTTGCTGTGAGCTGGAGAAGCTTTAGGGTTGCCTCTGAGATAATGAGACTGTCTTGGAAATCATTATTTTGGCTTATGGTTTTTTACCCTTAGCTCTTTGTTTTTACCCATCTCCTTAATTAGTACCCTTAACCAAATATAGTAGTGCTCTTTTCTGTCAGAAAACTGACTCCTCTTTCTTAGATGTATTCTGTGTATCTTCAACTAATCAGTACCTTAATATTTATCCGATTCTTTCATTTGGGTTTTGGGTTTCCCAACACATTTTGCTCCTCAAATTAATATTTTTCAGATCCTCAAAAGAAAGATTCAGAGACCAAGACTTAGCATCACGTGACAGAGACAGGAATTCAAGAGACAGATCACCTCGTGACAGAGATCGAAAAGATAAGAAGCGGTCCTATGAGAGCGCTAATGGCAGATCAGAAGACAGGAGGAGCTCTGAAGAGCGCGAAGCAGGGGAGATATAATTAGCTGTGTACATATCCTCAATCCTTAAGCTTCTTCTGGAGTTACATACTATTGTTTAGTTTACAGCTGTTTGGGGTGACACAGTGAGCAGTTCCAGACACCGATCCAGCTAGGCTAGGTGTACAGCATCTAACTCAGTCTGTACTTATTTTCTTTGATGAAGCCTAAAACTACATCCATAGTTTCTGGTGAACCTGTAATACACTTCTGAAAGTCCAGTTTTATATAATAAGACACAGATGTCTTTATTCTTTCTAGTAGGACTGATAGTGAATAAATTGTGTTACTTGCCTTGGGATTTTTTGAACATTTGTAAAATGCTGTCTTCCTCTCTAGTCCCAAACAACGGCGACTTTGGGAATTTCTTTTTAATCCTTCTTCCTTTGACTCTATATCCCCTGACACTTCTACCCTCTAGTGGTAAGAGAAAGGGGTACAAGGAAGCAATATAACTTCTGTTCTAAGGTTCTATTCCCATTATTAATTACTAGCTGATTACAGTTCAGAACATTTATACTGGAATGTGTGCTGGAGAAATTTAAAATACGAGGAGTTTTGTTTGTCTAACGGTGCCTATTTTAGAGTTGGAAGTTGAACAGCTGTTGCATTACATACTTTGCTTTTTTATTGAAATTTTGAAATCAAACATGTCTTGATTTTTCTGTTCTTCTTGAATAGCTACATTCAGGATGTTTTGAGATGGGGGGTGGGGGCAGGGACTTTCATAAGCACTTGTTTTATTTTGTGTGTGTGGAGTACAAAGATGACACCCTTATTGTAAAAAATAATAAAGTGAAAGAATCACCACCACCATCATTAAACTGTAACTTGTCTAGTAAATTGTCACTAGAGCTATTTGCTGTGGCCATTTCTATTCTGTTATTATAGTGCCTTACTGTGCAAGGCACCAAAGGAAATAAATATATACTTACAAAGATTCAAGATGAATTGTTGCTCCACCTGGGCCCTTGCTGACTGTATTCCAGCTGCTTCAGGACTGTACCAACCACTGTAGAGAAGGACCAGACCTGCAGAAGAAATTGGGTTTGTTTGTTTTGTTTTTCTTCACATTGAGCAAACCGAAATAAAAACATGGTGTAACCAGTGTAAAGAGACTAATGATTTCTGCGTTGAAAAGCTATATATCCAGTCGTGTTGAAACAGTAATTAACCTTGTGATTCTAGAAAAGCTGAGAAATATATTAAGTAACATAAGGATCTGTGAGTATAACTAAGATCCTTTTAATGATCACATCTCTCAGGTTCAGCTCTGGCACAGCTGAGAATCATTGGAATCTTGATCCAGCACAATATGCTGTACTGCTCATTTTGGGGGAAGAAAGTTCTTTGTTTTTCCTATCCAAAAAAAAGCTGTTGACATCCATTATTGATTTTACCTCAATTACTGGTATTCAGACTTCCCCGGTATAAACAAGGCGATACAAAGTTGTTCTTTCTTTACCTGTTGTAATTTGAAATGAACAAAAGGTCTGGCACTCAGCAGTCAGGGGAGGCAGCAGAGGGCTGAGAGGAGCAGCTTGGTGGCCACGGCTGACCCGGAGGGCCGGGCAGGGGTTCGCCAGCGGGGTGAGTGGTGCTGGGGCCACCGCTGAGCAGGGCTCGGGTGATGGGGGCAGCAGGTGTTCGGAACTTCGAGGCGGGCCTCCATGTTTTCCAGGTACCAGCAGAGACAGGATGTTAGAGGTTTGGGGTCTACACCGAGGGTCAAACCAAACCGACAGCATAACAGGGTTCAGGCTGCAAGCAAGGCATTCAGACTCGCAGAACTGGGCGCTCGGTCGAGGATTCAGCCAAGTGAAGCCTTGTAGGAAGTGCCCACACCTGAATCTGCTGCTACTGCTCTGGGAGAGGCTTCTAAGGTCACTCCTATACCTGGATACTGCTTGTAACAAGACCCAGCTCCAGGAGCCTTACACAAGGTGGTCACTGGACACTCACATGCTTGAGTCCATGGGACCGCTCTGCTCTCAGGATAGCACTGGATAACTCAGATGAATTGTGCCCAAACCCGCTTCGTCTTGCCTGACATGCAGGGAACCAACATGCTGAAATGCCAAGGTTTGAGGCAAAAGAGGATTTCATGTCAAGTCAGCTGAATGAGGAGATGAGAGAACAGATCTTAAACCCGCTTCCCCAAAGTCTAAGGAGTATCGATAGGATGATGAGTTACCAAGCAGGGCAGCATGCTCTTGCCTTGGAAGAATTGACATTGTTAAAATACCCATTCTACCCAAAACATTCTACAGGTTCATTGTTCTATCAAATTACTCATGATGTTTCTCACAGAGCTAGAACAATCCTAAAATTCATATGGAACCATAAAAGATCAAGAGGGATGGAGTAGAAGGTTGGGGTGAAGGTTTGGTTTTTGGTTACTTGGGTTTTTTGGGAGTTTTTGGGCTGCACTGCATGGCTCTTGGGGTCTTATCTCCCCGACCAGGGATCAGACCCAGGCAGCAGTGGTAGCGTGGGGTCTTAACCACTGGGCCGCCAGGGAATTCCCTGGAAGCTTTTATGTAAAGAATAAACAAACAACAAGGCCCTACTATATAGAACAGAGAACTATATTCAATACCCTATGATAAACCATAATGGAAAAGTATTAAATATGTATGTATAACCAGATCACTTTGCTATACAGCAGTAATGAACACAACATTGTAAGTGAACAGTACTTCAATGAAAAGCAGCAGGGAGGTGTGAGGTGTGGGGTGCATGGGGAAAGGTGGTTGGAGAAGGTGCAGGGATCATCCTGCCCTCTTGGAACTAGGCTAGAGGCCTCTGCAGGTGTCTGAGCATGCTCTGCTGGAGGGTGGGTGGCGGGTGGTCCTAGCCAGCCTTAACCAGTTCATGTGCACCAGGTGTAGTTGAGATTCCCAAGTGCCTGGGGAATAAATAACCCAGCCATCCACCTTAGTGTTCAGGCTCCTGGCCTCTTAGGAAACATACAGATGTTAACCTTGATCAGTGTGAGGCAGATAAAGCAGATTTGACTAATCCTCATGCACCATTTCAGTCCACTGCATCTTTTGATCATTCCTCAACCTTTTAAGTGTTAAAAATGTATCTTTTTTGTACCACACAGCTGTGGGAGCTTAGTTCCCTGAATAAGGATCGAACTGGTACCTCCTCCAGTGGACGGCTCATGCCTCCTGCAGTGGACGGGCATTTTCTTAACCACTCGTCCACTGAGAAAGTCCCTTGATCCTCAGTCTTGAGGAAAGAGTGGCAGTGCCCACTCTGAATACTTTTTGCTGATAAGGGGTGTGTAGACCTAACAAGGACCTGGGTAAAGAAGCTGTTAGCACTCATTTGAAAATACTCTTATTCCTGATTTCAAGTTAACCTTTTGACCCCAATAAGCAAACAGCACCTATGTGCCATCATGAATGTCACAGCATTCATAGGCCAAAGTTGTTAATCAAAAAGATGGACCTTGGTGGGGAGGGGAGGGCAAAACACAAAGAATGTACATGCAAGACATACTGATAATCTTCACACATCAAGTCAGGGATCAGTGACTGACTCTGACCTCAAGTGCCTCAGTTGTTAACCAGTTTAGCTGAAACACTTGGGTATTAAATATGGAAGGGACATGGACCAGGAAAAAAAAGTATGATTGCTACAATATCCTGACGAAGTGGACTCTTAGAGGGGAAAGACACCCAGGGTTATTTGAGGACACAAGGAGAGGACCAGGTTTCAGCTTCAGGGGGAATGGAAGTTGGGTTGATTAAGTCCAACACAACCTTAATATCTGAGGGTTCTCTATCCCAAGTGTCAGTGAAGGCAGAGGCGGTGGGAAAGTGCTGACAGGCATAACTAAGGGGTCGGCATGATCAAATATAGAAAAAGGTTTGGAGTGACATATCCAACAGCTAGCGAGAGTACCTGCTTTTGCCAGAGTCAGAAATCCTAATCATTGTTCTTCCAAGCCCAGGAGGTCAAAAGTACAGAAAAGACAAAAGAACAGTCATTCTGGTAACCTGACAAGTTATTTAAGTAACTTACCTTCTGAAGAATTTTATTTAACCAAAGCCAGTACTGCAGCAGTCTTGTTCACCTTAGTTTCTTTCTCACGGCTTCTTTCTGGAAAGCAACTTAAGATCTGCTAGGGACTCACTTGCCCATTCAGAGAAGTCAGTGTCGGGTATGGAACCAGCCAAGGTTTGGATGACCTTGGGCAAGGTTTGTGTCCCTTCTGTAACAGGGTCTCTATTTTCCATCGTGCTCCTCAGAAGGTCCACTCCAGCAAGGATGGCACTGGTCTTGTAGATGTTTACCCTTCTAAGATTGCAGGATAGAGGTTCATTGTCCCCTCCTTTAAGAGTTTCCTGGGGAACTCTGCCTGCCTGCTGATACACGGGACACCAGGTTGATCCCTGGTCTGGGAATATTCCACATGCCACACAGCACGTAGCTGCTTCAGGGAGGCACTAGTCCCTCCCAGTTAGATCCTTGGCACTTCTGCTGCCAAGGGCCCAGGTTCAATCCCAGGTTGGGGAATAAAGACCCCACAAGCAATGTGACCAAAAAAAAAAAAAAAAAAAATAGCTGCTTCACATGAGTCTTCCCCATCTGATGGTCTAGAGATTAGAGACCAGGCTTTTTCAAAATGTCTCAAGACACCTTAGTTACAAACATAGTCTCAAAGTTTAGAAAGCCAGATATTTGAAACAGAGTAAGTGGCCCCCATATTGATCAGAAAGTCCAAAAGTTGATTTCTCAACTGTCGTAGTCCTGCAAGGTTCTATATGCTAGAAATTGATGGACTTGGCAGGATTGAGGGGAGCCCTTGGGTTCCTTGGTCTCTATCATTCTCATCTATCTCAGTCATCTGATGCACCACTTGTTTTATCTTCTTCCAGAGTCTTCCTTAGGATGACACAGTCTTTTCTGAGGGCCCTCCTGTTTGAAATATGCACAGTGGTTGGGCTGGGTCTTTTTTTTTGGTTGTGCTATGTAGCATATAGGATCTTAGTTCTCTGACCAGGGATCAAGCCTACACCCCCTGCAGTGGAAGTGTGGAGTCTTAACCACTGGATCGCCAGGGAAGTCCCAGGGGTCTCACTATTGATTGCCCCATTGACGTAGAAGCTTGGGGCCTCCTACCTTTTGCTGAGTCCCTTGTAGGGTCTTCACCTTGGTCCACCTCTTCCCTCTGTGAAGACAGAGTGGCCTGTTTCATTCTCTTGTTCCCTTCTGAGCCTGCCCTGCTATTAGAAACTGCAGACAATCTCAACAGGTTAAGACATAGGCATTCCAAGAGCACCTTCCATTTCTTGTGTATGGTGGAAGTGGGGTGGGGGGACACTCTGACCAATAAGTCTTATTTAGTTCAGTCGCTCAGTCGTGTCTGACTCTTTGCAACCCCATGAATCACAGCATGCCAGGCCTCCATGTCCATCACCAACCCCCAGAGTTTACTCAAACTCATGTCCATCGAGTCGGTGATGCCATCCAGCCATCTCGCCCTCTGTCGTCCCCTTCTTCTCCTGCCTTCAGTCTTTCCCAGCATCAGGGTCTTTTCCAATGAGTCAGCTCTTCGCATGAGGTGGCCAAAGTATTGGAGNCCTGCATACAGGTTTCTATAGAGGCAGGTCAGGTGGTCTGGTATTCCCATCTCTTTCAGAATTTTCCAGTTTATTGTGTGTTACTAACCACCTTTAAATTCTCTGGGGCCTCAGGGTCTGTATCTGTATAATATCTCTAAGCTTTGAAGACCCTTGCTAGAAATTCTGAAAGACCCTCATTTCGGTTCTGTTTTATCTCGTACTTTATTAAAGCTTCTTCATTTGTGCATCCCTCTTTGAATCAATCTCAAATTTTGGCCTATCCCAGCATTCAACATCCCACTTAGCATGTGCTATTGACATAGCCATGCTCACGGCCTCCCACGCCAGCTTTCCAGGTCTACAGCACGGCCTCCTCATGAGCTTTGTCCAGCACCATTCTGTGATCTTCTGAAATGAGAAGGGTATTGAATGAGTTCTGAATTCAGTATTGACACCTGCCCAGGTCGGATTTGGAGTTAAAAAAAAAAATTTTGATGAAAAAAGAATTCTTCCTTTCTCTTTGCTTTGTCTCAGT